GAAGGAGGGGAAAAGAGGTAATGAAGAGCTCATGCGTACAGTGCAGGGATAGCCAGGATAAGGGCTCAAGGCAGGAAAAAGCTGGCACAACTGTGAGGACACTGGGTAGCCAGAGAGGCTGGGTCACTAGTGAGAAAAGAGAATAGTACTTGAGGGACCAGGTAGAGGGGTGTAATTGAAATGGTGGAGGCTGTTGTGTTAGTTGCTGTTAAATGTGATGGTGATCTACATTAGGGAGCTTGTCTGGAAGTGATGAGAAAAGCTAATTTTTTCTGTGAATATACAAGGCAAATGATCAGGGAGTTGAGCCCTTGGAGCCAACTGCACAACAATATTGAGATGGCAATTTGGTTTTATGACACATATAGAGAAGGTGGGTAGAAAGAGAAAAGGCTCTACACTGAATCCTGTTGCTGGAGCAGAGATGTTGGGTACCATGGGGACAGCACCAGAGCCTGAAGAGTTGCTTCCAAGGAAGGGGGAAGACACCTGGAAGAATGTGAAGACCCAGCAGCCAAGGGAAGAAGATATTTCTAGAAAGGGAATTAGGCATTATTTTGTAGGCTGGGGTAAAAACCCAAAACCAAAATGGTTTTGATGGGTTTTTTTTGTTTGTTTGTTTTTTAAAATCAGTCTTGATTTCTTCATCAGTGAACAATAAAAAATAAATTTATTAGCAATTTATTAAATGCATTTATTTAAATAATATATTTCATTAATTAATTTATGTATACTCAATGTTTTAAAATATTTTTTATTAACTAAATTTTCATGTCTCTAAAAATGCAGCTCTTTTTTTGTAACTAGAAACATACTCCATAATTACCCTGTGGCTCAGATGGTCCCCAGTTTAGGATTTTTCAACTTTTTAGTGGTGCAAAAGCATTATACATTCAGTAGAAATGATACTTTGAATTTTGAATTTGGATCTCTTCTCTGGCTAGTGATATGTGGTCCCATCCTCTCTCCATGCTGGGCAGTGGCATCGGCTACAGCTCTCAGTCAGCCCCACATGGTCACCAGGGGAAACAACCCACACTCCACAGTGTCCTGTGTAGCTCAGCCAGAGTGTTCAGTGTATTAAATGTGTTTTTGACTTAAGATGGTGTACTGGGATGTAATCCCATCACAAGTCGGGAGCATCTACACTGAGAGGACACAGAAACTAATAATAAAATTTTTAAATAATCCACTTGGCTCTCAGATATTACTGACTTAGTTTAGGCATTGGAGAGCACTTTATGTTAAGGACCAGATAATAAATATTTTCAGTTTTGTGAGAAATACAAATTTTAGGTAACAGCTATTTAACTCTGTGGTCATACCACCAAAACAGCCATGGAAAATGTGTAAAGGACTGAATGTGGCTGTATCTCATGAAACTTTTAATTCCCCAATAGGCAGCTGGCCATATTCAGCCAGTGGGCTGTAACTCCATGAGCTCTCAAAGTTTTAAGGATCATAACCTTTAGGAGTTGATAAAACTATAAAGTACTGTTTTGATTTTTTTTTTTAAAAAGGAAATTACTCAATTTGATACTTTATGTTTTAAAAAAACTTTGTAAACTATTAGATTTTTGTCAGTCTTATCCTCCAAAATTTTGATTATGTAATGTATGCTGTATTCTTGATGTAGTCAAAATTTGTAGACAGACTGCTACCCCCACCACACCACCTTCTGCCTCATCTGCTAGCTTCAGCCTAACTGCTTTAAATCCTTTGCTATGAGTATGTCCTCTGAATAATGAATTTCTTAAGTTCCTAAGATTAATGGGACATGTTTTTTACCCTGAATATCATGTAGATATGTAATATATACAACATAGATCACATTCACCATGAGTAAAATATGCTACTCTACCTCTTACTATAACTTCTTTGTCCCACTTTAAGTGCTTATCTGTTTTTAGGATTAAATAATCTATTCGCAGAAACTATTGTGTGTTATGTCTGCCCCATATGGACCTAAGTAAAACTGGCTTGTTTTCTTGTAGCTATTGATATCTCCAGTCTTGAGGTCTTCTCAGTTCTCTGTTCTTTCAACATAGGGCCATTGCTTTTCCTGAGAACAAAACAGCCCGTCATCTAGACCATTCAACAATGAAATAATAGCCTTTCCAACAAATGGTGCGGGGACAACTGGGTATCCATCTAGAAACAGTGAAGTTGGACCCCCAAACCATATACAAAACTTCACTCAAATAGATTGTAGAAATAAATATGAGAGACAGAAATATAAAACATTGATAATAAAACACAGAGGTAAAATCTTCATGATCTTGAGTTAAGCAAAGTGTTTGTAAATATGACACCAAAAATATAAATGATGAAATACAAAGTATATTTTTTTGCTTCACTGGCCACCATTAAGAAAATGGATAGACAACCTTCACAGTGGGAGGAAAAGATTGCAAGTTATATATCTGATAAGGGACCTGTATCCACTCAATAATGAAAAGACAAATGGCCCAACTTAAAAATGGGCAAAGGATTCAAATACACATTTTTAAAGAACGCATATAGATGGCCAATAAACATATGAAAAGATGCTCAATGTCATTAGTCATCAGGAAAATGCATATCAAAACCACAATTAGATACCACTTTAAACCACTAGCATGACTATAATCAAAAAGACAAACCACAACAAGTTTTGGTTAGGATGTGGAGAAATTAGAACCCTTAGTCACTGCTGGTGAGAATGAAATGGTGTGGGCACTTTGGAAAACAGCCTGGCAACTCCATTCATTCGTGTGTGTGTGTGTGTGTGTGTGTGTGTGTGTGTGTGTGTTTGTGTGTGTGTAATGAATCTCCAAAAGAAATGAAAGCATTACATTAAAGAAGCCAGTCACAAAAGCCCACCTATTGTATGGTTCCATTTTTAGGAAATGTCCCCAGTAGCTAGAGACATTTTATAAAGACAGAAAATAGATTAGTGGCTGTCTGGGTTGGAGTGGGAATTAAGGGCTGGGTAGTGATTGCTATTGGGTACAGAGTTTCTTTTCTGGGGTGATGAAAATGTTCTGGAATTAGATGGTAATGATGATTGCATAATGTTGCGATTATACTAAAACCACTGAACCATAAACTTTAAAATGGTGAATTTTATGGTATGTAAATTATGTCTCAATAAACTATTATTTAAAAAAAATAAAATGGCCTTCAATTTGCCTTTGTGGCTTTGAAAGATTAGGGTGAGACATATCTTTTCTTTCTTGCTTCAACCTGAGCTTTGCTCACAAGCCTAGATGACATGAATTTAGTAGACTTGGTTGAGTCCCTAGTGAGCAATTTCCCAGTTGCCCAAGTAATCCTGTGTTCAGGCCACAGCTTCTGCTCAGGGGCCACTCAGGACCAAGAAACAAAAAGTGCTGTTGGCCTCAGTGAGAAGTTTCGTAGTGTGAAGATTGAGGACATTCACAAAGCAGTGAATAGTGACAAAGACTTATTATTTTAGAACATTTAATATTAGGTTAACTTGTTTATTAAGTGTAGAGATGACTTAAGAAAGTGTATCAGTCAAATGTATTTTTAAAAAACGTAAAGAACTGAAAGATTCTCAAGATTCTCTAAGAAGTCAATTCATATGTATATTAGTATATTGCTGAATGCACTGTGCCTTATAATAAAAACATATACAATCAATCAACAAATATATGAAAAATGTTCATCATCACTAGATATTAGAGAATTGCAAATCAAAACCACTCTAAGATTTCATCTCACTCCAATCAGAATGGCAGCTATTATGAAAAATAAGTGTTGGCGAGGATGTGGGGAAAAAGGCACACTCATACATTGCTGGAGGCATTGCAAATTGGTGCAGCCAATATGGGAAGCAGTATAGAGATTCCTTGGAAAATTGGGAATGGAACCACCATTTGACCCAGCTATCTCACTCCTCGGTCTATTTCCAAAGGACTTAAAAACAGCGTACTACAGGGACACAGCCACATCAATGTTTATAGCAGCACAATTCACACACAATAGCTAACCTGTGGAATCAACCTAGATGCCCTTCAGTAGATTAATGGATAAAAAATAAAATAAAAATAAATGTGACATATATACATAATGAATATTACTAATCAATAAAAGAGAATAAAATCATGGCATTTGCAGGTAAATGGATGCAGTTGGAGAAGATAATGCTAAGTGAAGTTAGCCAATCCCCCCAAAACAAATGCCAAATCTTTTCTCTGATATAAGGTGACTCATAGTGGGGTAGGGAGAGGGAGCGTGGGAGGAATAGACGAACTCTAGATAGGGCAGAGGGGTAGGAGGGAAAGGGAGGGTGCAGAGGGTTAGCAATGATGATGGAATGTGATGGACATCATTATCCAAAGTACATGTATGAAGACATGAATTGGTGTGAACATACTTTATATACAAACAGATATGAAAAATTATGTTCTATATGTGTAATAAGAATTGTGGTGTATTCCGCTTCATGTATTTAAAAAATAAAAGCAATTTTAAAAAAAGAAGTGAAACGTTAAAAAAATTACATATGCTTGCAAAATACTACAAAGTCATTCTTGCTTCTTAGTTTAGAGAAAACAAAACAGTCCATTTAAAAATCAACTGTATTCTAAAGCACATGTTCTCAATCTTCTCAGTGCAAAATAATCAATTGGAACTCATTAGAAATGTGAAAAATATGAGCCACGCTCAAGAAATTAGTCCAAACTGAATTTTAAAGGAACATCTTCTAGGAGCAGAGCTTTGCCTTGTGATAAGTAGTGCCCCAGGGCTTCAACCTAGAATGGGATGTTAATATAAGGGTGGTTAAACTGTTCTTCACATTACCATAGGTAATGAGTGGGTATTAAAATATTTTTCCAGCCATTTGATATTAGAAGTAGACGACATCCACACTCTTATTGCTATGCTGTTTGAAAACGATGGTGTTTCCTCACCCACATGATGCTTCACGGTGTATGAAACTGTAGTCTTCCTCACCCCACTGATTTGGCCACATCTCTGCCCTCTCTTTCCAGATTTCTTTTGACTTAGCTGAGTATACTGCAGATGTTGATGGGATTGGCACTTTGCGGCTTTTGGATGCAATTAAGACCTGTGGCCTTATCAACTCTGTGAAGTTCTATCAGGCCTCAACAAGTGAGCTTTATGGGAAAGTGCAAGAAATACCCCAGAAGGAAACTACCCCATTCTATCCTCGGTCGCCCTATGGTGAGAACCCATGTGTGCACTGCTGTCTGCCTGCAAGGGAGCTCTGTGGGTGTGGGGGGCGTGTTTCTGCTCTGCTTTCATTCTGTTCATGTCTCACAGCTGAAGTCATTTGGGTGTGAGATTAACATTAAGATAGACTACAGTGACTAGACTTGTTGAGAAGCATACCTTTATACATTGCTAACTACAAGTATTTGCTGCAATTGCCTTCGGGGTAAAATTACCACCTCACTTCACCAATCTGTGTTCATTCAACCCTTCTATACAGATCACTTTAAAAGAAAAATTAGACCCAACATTATTCTTTTTCTAAACTTCTGAAATTGTGCTGAAGTGATAAGATTTCATGTTTTTTATGTCTCTCATAAAAGTTTTCCCCTGAACCCAAACCCTTAGGGAAAAAATATTACTATCACATTTAATATATTTGTAAAGAGACTATTCATGAAAGACTTTAGTGATAAAATTTCAAAACATCTAAATGTTAAGATCCCCAATTTTTTTCCTTTCTAATTCTTTAAACCTAAAACCAAACAAACAAAAACTACCTAGAAAGGAGAATTTGATATATCGCAGTTGCACACAGTACAGTTGAAACAATTAGATGGTGAGAGAACAAACTGTGGCTATTACAAAAGTAGGAAATTATTAAATATTTCCTGGTGAACCTGATTAACTGGCATAGGAATTTTTTTTTTCTTTTGGCTTTTGAGTCACATTTTTTGCTACTTTGAAACAAACTGTAATTTTTGTTCTTTAAGATAAGTGAAAATCCTTGTCTTTTATATTAAACTTAATTTGTTTTTAAAAAATTAATTCAACAGGGGCAGCAAAATTGTATGCTTATTGGATTGTGGTGAACTTCCGGGAGGCATATAATCTCTTTGCAGTGAATGGCATTCTCTTCAATCATGAGAGTCCCAGAAGAGGTCAGTAAATAATAATTGAAAAGAGAATTTTAGACTTTAGCAGCAATTACCTTTTCATATGTTCTGTACCCTGTGAAAAATTTTACACTTAACCATTAGAAATGTCAGAAGTAATAAATGAAGAAGTATAAATCTGACCTTGTTTTCTTATCAGGTTTATGGGTCTTCTTTTTTTAATTCAACATTAAAAACTGGGCAGGGTTCCAGTTTTACCATTTTCATTAATAGGTCTTATCAAGCTTGTTTTCCAACTAAAATTTCCATGTGAATGCAAAGGAAAAAGGAGTAAACTAATGGTTCTTTCTGGAAGTCACTCCTGTTCACAAATAGACTCAAACAATTGGATACTTAGTGGTTTGGTTTGGTTTGTTTTTTACATTTCATGAAATAGACACCCAGAAATGGCTATGCTGTCAGAGTAAATTTTTAAAGAAATTTGAAATCAGTTCTTGTAGTTAGAAGCATCATCAGTTTCTTCTTTCAGAAAACCTTGTTTGTTTGTATCACCTTGTTTCCTTTTGTCATAGTTTTTGTGGAAGCTCTCTGTTCCCGGCATTAGGTTTTAAATAAGCTGTGCACTCCCATCTTACTTCTTGATATAGTGAAACACAAGAAATCCTAATCAAGCAAAGACACTCTTTACAAAGTAAAAATAGCTATCTAATCTCATTCTAAGAAGTTTTATTCAATTTCACTATCATTTAGTCTGATAGTCTGAGAATAAAAGCCCAGTGTTATGATTTGTTTCATATCCAGCAACTAGTAATGCTTATAATTTTTTTTAGTGAAACTTTATGGCATTGTATAGCCACCTAATTAAACCATCAAGTCATGAAGAAAGATTAAAGTGACAGGTTTATAAAGTATCTTTAGCGTCAGTACACTTTTATTTTACAGTTGCTTAAGTTAAAAATCCCCATGATGGACTGTTAAAGCATAATATGCTAGCCTGTCATTTGTGTTGCCTAAGCAGCCAGAAGCATTTCTTTAATTAATTTGTGGTTCTGGATGTTGTGAGTAAGGGGAAAAGGAAAAGGGAGATCTTAGCTGTTCTTACCTGCAGCATCTGGTATGTGGGGTGCTCAAGGAATCTGTATAGTGAATGATAATCTCTGCCTCTTTTCTCACAATCATGTTTATACACATTGTTTGGGTTTCTGTATTCTCCTTTTTAACTTTTCCTTCTAGGTGGATGGGGGACTAATTGTAAATCAGGATAGGGGAGGAAAAAGCATTCTTAGGTTTTAGAGTAAAAAGATGAATTTGAAGATAACCTCCCACCCCTGTTCTTTGTTTACATCTCATAAGGAAAGCCTAATACTTGTACATTTGGGCTGGGAGTGTAACTTGATGGTAAAGTTCTTGCTTAGCATGTGAGGGTGTCAGGAGAGCAGAAGAATAACCATCCCCAGTACCTCTGTGAGCAGTCCTTCAGAGATGTTCCATGTTTCTTCGGTCCTTTCCAAGAGGAGTTATCCTGTAGGTATTGTTCTGCAACTTGGGCTTCTCTTAAATGTTTGTTAAAAACTTGACTTTGTAGCACACACCATTTGTTTTACTACATATCTAGAAATCAGTGTTTTCCATATTTTTACTCCATTTATATAAGTAAATAATGCAGAAATATAGAGCTATATGTGAAACTGATGTTAATGCTTAATTTGATAAAATATCTAATTCCTAATATTTACACCATTTCTTTTTTTTTATACTTAAATGAATTTTATTATATTCAGATAGTACTACAAACACCACTACATTCAAATTTAGGATATTTTCATGCCTTCTAAAAGAAGCCTGGTACCCACTCACAATTATTTCAGTGTTCCTCAAACTCCCAGTGCTAGGCAACAGCTAATCTACTTTCTTATAACATTTCTTGGAACTTAAAAATTAATTTTCATATTAAAAGTTAATCGGAAGCTAGGTGGAGTGGTAATTGCCTATAATCCTAATGACTCTGAAGGCTAAGGCAAGAGGATTGCAAGTTCAAGGCCAGCTTCAGCAGCTTAGGGAGACCCTAAGTAACTTAGTGAGATCCTAAGCAACTTAGTGAGACCCTGACTTAAAACAGAAAATAAAAAGGGCTGGGGAGGTGACTCAGTGGTTAAGAACTTCTGCATTCAATCCCTTGTACCAAAAAGAAAGAAAAGTAAAGTTAACCTAATGGCCAACACACGACCCTAGTCCCAGGGACTTAAAGAGGCTGAGGCAGGAAGACCATAAGTTGAAGGCCAGCCTCAGCAGCTTAGGGAGAACCTCAACAACTCAGTGGCTCTTTATCAAAATTTAATAAAAGGGAGGCAGGGCTCAGAATGAAGTTCGGTGGTACAGAACTCCTGAATTCATTCCCAATACCACAAAAATAAATAAGTAAATAAAAATAAAATAACAATTAGCCTGACAATAAGATTGTTCTTGAAGATTCATTGTTGTTTTCTGAGAAGATTTCTTTGACAGACTGAGAACCTCTTAGTGGCAGGACTGTGTTGTATTCTTAAATCTCCAACTTCTAAAGCAGTGTCTGTCTGCTAATAAACATTCAGTGAAACTTTTTAAATGAATGAGTATCTTATGCTTCATTAAAACTTCACTGACTTGAAAGCTAGGTGGTTCGAATGAGAGAACAATAGAAATTTATAGGATAGTTTTAAAGAAATATTATTGTACTGATTTGAGATATATACTAGTTAAAGCTAAAAACTATTTTGAAATAATGATTAAGTTTGAACACTTTATAAACAGATACAATTTGTTTTTAATCATCTTAGTTTGTATACCTACAACTTGCTTTGAGATTTGTGAGTGAGTTTGTTTTCTTGAGCTTTTATACACAAGTCCTCTCAGGCCCTGTTATCACAGAGAATAAGCACTGCTTTTGCAAGATAGAGTGGTGGTAAACCTCAGTCTGTTCAAAGGTACAATCACAAATGCCCAATTAGTAGAGCTCAAGTTAATGTTGTTGGGGGGGGCACATACACATTTTCTCTAATGAAAAATAATTGACAAGGTCATTGAGAATTTCTGACTTTAAAAAGCATGGAAGTGTTTTTTAATATATATATTTTTTAATTTTAGGTGGACACAATATCTTTATTTTTCATTTATGTGGTGCTGAGGATCTAACCCAGTGCCTCATACATGGTACAGGAGCACTCTACCACTGAGACACAATTCCAGCCCCGGAAGTATGTTTAATATAAAATATTCTAGACCAGAGATTGGCAAATTATGGCTTATAGGCCAAATTCAATCCACTGAGTTATTTTTTGGTAGATAAAGTTTTATTGGAACACAGGCTCATTCGTTTACATGTCATCAATGCCTGTAGTCTGCAAAGCCTGAAATATTTACTGTCTGGGTGTTTAAGAAAACATTTGCTTGTCCCAGCCATAGGTAGATCTTCAACATCCAAGAAACTTTCAGTTAAGTTTATTGTGGGTTTCTCCCAAAGAAGTAAGGTAGACTTTTATATAGATTTCCAACAAATGTTAAAGTCAAAGTGTTAATAAGGACAGCCTTCAGCTGAATTTCAGAAGTATTTTGGTCAGTTGGGGTTCTGATGTCCTTCACTGCTGTACTTGAGTGGCCACGTGCTCTAAAGGAAAGCTAATTGTCAGGGAGTTATGGAGCCAAAGGAGCTAGTCCTGACTAGAGTTCTGCAGCTTAGCTCTTCACAGCAACCCCAGGTCCTTAGCTTTGACATTTTCTCGTTTTCTCTTAGTCTCTTGTCCATTCCAATCTTTTGGGGGTTCTATTTCTTTTTTCTTCTTTTTATTTAAGACTTTATTTAGAATTAATGTCTTTTATCCATTCCCATCCTTCTGTATTTTCTTTCTTTTTAAAAAACTTTATTTATGTAGACATTCTTTTAAAGTGTATCTACAGTGTTATGAGAACTTTATAATGCATCTGTAAATGATTGCGATCACCTTGCACTTGCGTAGAATGAACAGTTGGAATCATTGATCTAGGTAAGAAAGCCAGTGATCCAGTGACCTGACCTCTGTATCCCTAAGTCAGCTGTCTATTCACTCTTTCAGAGAGCAACACTACCAATGTTCCATGCTTTAGGCTTACTCTGCATAAGATGCAGACACATTAGTAATAGAGTCTACAGGGAACTGAATAATACTTAAAATTATTTTAAAACTATATTCTGTAAGGCTTGCAAATGTATGCTTTATGAGTAAATATTACTATGTATTACATACTGACCTTTATAGATATTAACAAGGTTCTCTTATTCATAAGCATTAAGTTTTTTTAAAATAAAGAATATACTATTTATTAATTCAAAGGATTTTTCATGAAAAAATTATGCAAAACTGATTCTATATCTGAAAGACTTCTTTCTCTCATATTGTCTCTTCAAACTTGGAATTCTGTATCACCTAGGTATGGAGATACACACATCTATCTATTTACATTTATATAAAGCAAGTGTTCTATTGGCCACAGATGTGGATGTTCCATCCTAGTGGAAATACAGATTTATATACCCTCTACGTAGGAAAAAAGGTCATGTTTCTTATTGTGAACTAATTTCTGTAAGGAAATTGACATTCCAAAACTGTTTTGTCTTTGTGGTTAAATTTCTCCAAAATGCTAAATAGTTGAGACTGTGATATCGTGTCAATTATGTAAGTTAAGCCATGGGAAAAATATGAAAAGATTTTTAATTATTCTGAAATAGCTCACAGTATATTTGAATTTCTTTTGAAATATATTATTTATGGTAATAAAATAGACTCTTAAAATTATTCTGCAAATTAAAACATTAAAACCAAATAAAAATATTTACTGAACCTAATAATAATACTTATGGTTTTGATTGTTTATTACATTAGAAAGTAAAGCCAGGTGCAGTAGTGCATGTCTATAATCCCAGCATCTTGGAGGCTGAGGTAGGAGGATTGCCAATTCAAAGCCAGCCTTGGTATCTTAGTAAGTTTCCAGAACTTAGTGAGACCCTGTCTCAAAATTTAAAAAAAGATAAA